GTTGAAAAGTGATGTAAAAAGCTGTAAATTTCATTTTCCTACATTTGCTGAGCTCTTTCATATAGGAGTATTATGTTGTTTGCGTCCACTTTCTCTTTAATAGTATCATATGATTCAAAATGTCTGAAAAAAACAATGATACCTGTGTAAAATACATTCGACATAAACTATCGGAAAGTCTCATATAGTCTAAAACGCTAGCACTGCATTAGCAGTGCAATTCACTTCACCTTATAACAAATCACGATCTGGAGCTTAAGATTTAAATAAAGTTGAAAATAACAAAAACAACAAAAAACGCTTGTAAATCATTTACTCCAGAACACATTTATTTGTAAAGTACATGGAAGTTGGAGAATTTCATTTTGTTTGGTTATGTCGTTTGGCCGCCATCTAGGAATTATTCTAAGCAAGAAATATTGTAAATGATGCAACATTAATTTTGAAATTGTCCATGTTACATCCATTTATATAACCTTTCTGGAGAGTAGAAAATAATGTGGGTAAGTCACGTGATTTTGGTCAATTTTTGATGTTCAAACAAAAAAAAAGTTTGAGCATCAGTTTATCATTAATGCTTCAACCGATCAACCTCTTATTTACCCTATATGTATGGTTCGGAATTTATGGCGAAAATCTACCACAATTGTTTTGTTTCTGATGAGCGCTTCAACCGATCAACTTTATATTTTGTATTTATACGTCTAGCCATATATGGTTAAGCGACATCATTAATATGCATATCCGAAATAATTCAAGTACTTTTACAGAAAGCGAATGTAACCAGTGCTATTATGATGTCATTCGACAAGAGATATGATTAGCATATCAGATGAGAATAATTTATTACGTGACCTAATAATGGGCAAATTTGTAATATTTCCAGATGTTATTATGATCAATTATTAAGCATCATATTTGAACAAAGACTGTATTGCTATATTGAATGCATTGGACAAGAAACATAACTAATGTATCGGATGAGAATATATGGTCATGCGACCTTATCTTTATGAACAACTGTCATATATCAATAATATATTTGAAATTGATGGTATTAATATTCAAAAAGTCTATTATCTAAAACCTGGTCATTTGTGCCATGCATTTAATTATCTAATTTATATAAATTGGCAACATATTTAGCTTTTTAACCACTCATATGATTGCACAAAAAACTTAATTCATATTAATTCATCACTCACAGAGGTAACTATTCTAAGGTGGATATCTAGTTTAAAAGGCTAATTTGATATCTTCTCTATTTCTGCTTTATGTATACTTCCAATATTCTTAACATAAGAAAGATTTAGCTAAGCTTTCTTTCCACATTGCCTAATTAGTATCAATATACTTGTGATGCACAATAATTTTTCTGGGATCCAACAAGTGGAATCATCAAGATGGATTTCATTTGATGTACATTGTTAGGTGATTATATTGCACTACAGACAATAGTAATATTTATTTTTCACTAAGTTGTTTCATCATTATACTGTTTCGTCCATCGCAGATTTCTTACATTGCCACGGCAAAATTGTATCATGCACCACTTTGACTTTTGGTGCTGAAAATTTAGAAAAAAATATGAAAAGTGTGTCATACACATTTCCACACATGACATTAATCCACAAACATTGAACATTTAATTTATAATGACACTCAGAATGATAATGAGACATACTATTAGTTTGTGGTCTAGAATTTGTTATGAATTTGAATATTCAAAACGATTATGGAAACTAACTTCGTTTGAAACATTTTATGTACTATAATTTATGATTATACTAATTCATTTATTGACAGATTCGCCTTCAGTTACAGTAACAGACATGACAGACTTTAATGTTGTCGAAGGTAATTCATATTGCGCTGAGTGTGAAGTAGATTCCAATCCAGATTCTGTTGTTACCTGGTTATATCCAGATGGAACACAGACAGAAGGATATGAACTAGAAATAGCAAATACAAACAGAAACGATGCTGGTACATACACATGTACAGCTGGGACAACGTTTTGGGATGGATCACTTGCAATAGATAGAGGGACTATGGATCTAAATGTTGAGTGTGAGTATATATTTGGAGAAATAATCGAATAGATGTTGTTCTTTAAAATGATATAAAAGCCTCGTTTTCTGTACTTAATTTCTTCACAGATGCAGGCATTGTGGCACTCGTGGGTTCAGAAGAAGAGGTTGACGAATCAGAGAGTGTCAGCTTCAGATGTACAGTGAATGGTGGAAATCCTGATCCTTTTAAAATGCAAATTACTCTAGATGACGAAGTTGTCGCGCAAGGAGATGACGTGCTAGGTATAACCCACTTGGAATATACGATTTCGGAATCCACTGTTGAGGACACAGGTAGTTATATCTGCATCGCAACCCAACGGTTTTGGAATGACGCCGAGAATGACGTTACCAGCAATGTTCATCACCTGACAGTAAATGTTCGTGAGTAACAGCCAGCCTTACTTAGAAATAACAAATACGATGATAGTTTCCATTTACCGATTTTAAATTTTTATTATATCTCTTCTAGCTGCGTCAACTGGATTGATTATTTTAGTTGTTATCCTGGCAGTGGTTGTTATCATAGTGATTGTTATATTTATAAGGAGGTATAGGAAAAAGCAAAGAGGCCTAATTATTCATGACAATGGTGGGTAACTCTTTGTAATATTAATACTAATAATGTTATTGGACGTTTGTATTAATTCATTTACAAATTCAATTTGTCATTTAGCTATAACTGTGCATATGAAATTTATATTAACTTGTAAACTGTCATTTTTCATTTCAGAAGGTGCTTTAATCGCAAGGTAGGCAAAACTCAGTACGTTAAGTCACGGTTGGTTAACATATTTAGATAAGTTACCTCCATATTCAACTTCATTCTTAAATGAAAAAAAATATATCATTCACAGATCGAGGGGCACTGCAGATGGTATTGATATGAGTGATATTCCAACAACTAACATAGAGAACGATAATGACATTAGCCCATATGGAGGTAATACTTTCATATCGACCATAAACATCACATAAAACAATTTCCACATTCAAATACCATGTTCTAATACTGTATACT